CCCAATCATCCCAGGAGAATTCTGGGAGTTGAAGTCCACAAGTCTTAAAGTTGCCAAGGTTGGGCACCTCTGAAGCAAGTGATTTGTTTTTGCAAGTTGGAATAGTAAAGCTCTGTAGTTTTCTACATTATTCTTTGTAGTTTGACATTATTTTTTGTAATTCTTTGTAATATCTGTAATATGGTATGATAATGTATGTGGATTTGTGTAGCATTTAATCATCTGTTAATCTAGCATGATTGATATCACATAATTACTATAACTTAATATAAAAAGAATTTTGTCTGATTATGCTTTGAATAATTTTTTTAAACCAACGTAAGGGACATTGTATCTGTAATCAAAATTTCTATTTCTGAGTTGCTACCATGTCCTCCCATATAACACCTTTTTCAGGAAAGCTGTTCAACTGTTCCTATTTTTATGCCTGTATGTTATATAAGCCATTTATTGGCTAATCCAAGTCTTCGTTTCATCTATTTTAATAAATTCTGCTTTACTTTGAGAGAAAATTATGGAAACTGTTTTACACTTGAAAAATTTATGACCTACTTTGATTCCTCCATGTAAATGTACCAAAGGATTACAGTGGTACAACATTAAAGCACAGATCACTGAATCAAATCTAGTTATAGAAAGAAATCTTCCAGCAACTACTAGTACTCTGTTTCCAGGAACATTACTGGATTATTGTGATACTTTGGAATAATGGAAGCATAAAAGCAAATGTTTTGATTTTCTACTACACAAAATTCTATTCAAAATCATAACTGTGTCAATTTATCAAGCCCCATAGTTTCGAAGCGAAGCATGGGTATATCCAGCTAGTACCATATGTAAGACTGAGGGCTTACTGCAGTTTCAAATACTGACAGGGTGAAACCCCAAAACAACATTTCTAGATCACTGCGAATGAAAAATATTCATAAAAAAACAAATGCGGACTTTCCAACACAGAGAAGGTACACGACTGAGGCAAAATCAGACACATTTTTTTCAGCAGAACTGGTTTACTGCTAGCTGTCTTTTAGGGTATTCAAAAAAGTTTTATTCCAGCACCTTTGTCGCATATTTTCTCACTAAAGAAAGTGTGAGGAAACATATAACAGAAGTGCTGAAATGAAAGCCCTCTGAACAGGCAATAGCAACTATAAATCACAACAATCCACTAAAAAATAGCAACATGCACATGGCAATGCATCATACAAATTATGCACTTGCTGCTTGGTACCTGATAGAAGTTTCAATATTTGTGTCCATTGCCCCACAACCCACAAACACCCATTTAAATAGGTTTCAGACTGGCAGCATATTAGCAAAAACTTGCAGGTGGGATTTTAAACTCTAGGAAAATTACTTAAACATTCTAGTTTAAAAAGAGAGTAATTAAGAGAATAAGAACACATAAACATACACAAAGGAGACGGAAAGTATTTCTTCTATTGAGCATTCCTCCAAGACTTAATAATAATACACCAGTCTCTTATCCCCCAGGCTAGGAACAGTTCAAGCCATTTAATTCCTTCAAGGACACCATTATATGGATCAAGGTCAAATGCAAGCAACTTCCTAAATACATAAAATACAAAACTTGGGCATAATATCTTGCAGTTAATAGTTTGTAACAGATGAAGATAAAAAAGCAAAGCAAGCAGTTTTGATATTTTCCATTTCAAAGGTTGACATAGCTGAAGAACCGCTCTGAATTTATCAGCTGGCTGACAGCTGTCATTTTTTTTTTAGAGTGAAAAATCAATGTGAAAATAATAGTAGACTCATAGCTACTTTAGACTTCAGCACAATCACACGCATGCAGACTGAAACTCATAATTAGCTGTCATTTGTTTTGGAAAAAGCTGAGTGGGCATTATTTGCACTATGGTGCAACTCACATACGTAACTGGCAATTGCTCATAGTTAAGCTTAGTTCACACACCATGCTATGCCAGTATTTGCTTTAACCAACATGTTGACTATTTTATTTATAATCCTAATCTGTAAATCAATGGTTTGATATCAATATCAGACTATTTCAAAGTGAAGCAAATTACATTAAGCAAGATTTAGCATGAGGTGTGAACACAACCTAAGTACTTTGACATTGGAAATATCTACACATTTTGCAAAAACAAAATTGTTCATTTTAAGATGCCATTAGACTATCTTTGCTACATTACACTAACACAGCTTAGGGGTATGAATTACTATTGATTCTATTGATATAATTGTTCTAGGAAAAACAAAAGGAATTACAGGTAGTCCTTGACTTACCACCATTCATTTAGTGATCAAAGTTACAACAGGATTGAAAAAACTGACTTACCCCACATCACATGATCAAAATTTGCTTGGAAACCAGTTTTTATGATGGTTGCAGCATCACAGAGTCATTTGCAACCTTCCCAGCCGGCTTCTGACAAGCAAAGTTAATGGGATAAACCAGATTTGCTTAATGACCACCTGATTCACTTAATAACTGCAATGATTTGCTTAACCACCGTGGCGAAAAGGTCATAAAATGCAGTGCAACTCACTGAAAAACTGCCTGGCTTAGCAATGGAAATTTTGGGCCCAATTGTGGTTGTAAATCAAGAAGTACCTGTATTCCTCCACATCACATAATTTTTACATGAAGGATGTGCAATCTTCTCTAGATAGAACATCATATATGTATTATATATGTATAATACGGCAGCTCTCTTAAAGTTCCACTGAGACATGTGCATCTGTTAGCTGCTAATTACAAACTGCCAATTAGCAAAAAAAAAAATGCTAGGAGTAACTGATATTAGCAACTGTATTATCACAATGCAATGCAACATGGTTATTTAGTACCACTCTACAGAAGTATGCCTCCTTCCTAGTTTTATCAGGGCTACGTTATTGAAGAAAGTTGTAGTTTACATAGACTTTCAGAAAAAATAGTAAATCAATTGATTATATTTGAGGGAGAACCACAATCAACAGATAATGAACGTGAACACTCAGGTGTTTTGAATATACACATTATTCCTTTTTGGGGTGGGCAACATTATGCAGAGTGAAGGAAAAAAATAAGCCAAAGAAATTAAAGGTACACAAATTTTGGGTCAAAATACTTTCCCCTATATTTTTGTGCATATTTTAGTAACACTTGACAATATTCTTCAATGTCCTAGCTCAAGTTTTTTAAAAATATCCCTGTTTGCTTTGGCTTTGATTCCTGACTGAAATTAAGCCAATTCTGTAAATACTCTAGATTGGTACCTGTTCAAGTTCCACTGCTTAAAACATCAACAAACCAATGGAGGCTCCATCAAAACAATGTGCTAAAAAGTTATCAGCCCCTGCATGCAAGCTGCAGTTGGACACTGTCAGACACACCAATGAACCGTAAGACAAAACCGGAACAGAGGGATATGCACACTTGCTGAAGCGCCAGAAAAAAACTTTAAAAATGGATGGAAACTAATCAAGGAGCGAACCAACCCAAAACTAAGGAGAAATTTCCTGACAAAACAATTAATCAGTGGAACAACTTGCCTTTAGAAGTTCTCCAGTGCTCCAACACTGGAGGGTTTTTAAAAAAGATTGGACAATCCTTTGAAATGGTATAGGATTTTTCCTGCTGGGGGGGAGAGGGGTTGGGTTAGAAGACCTTCAAGGTCCCTTCTCCAACTCTGTTACTCTATAGAAAAAAACACTCCACAGTATTGAAAACACTCCACACCTCTAGAAATCATTGTTTTTGTTCTTTTTAATAAGAGAGACCTGCTGGAAGAGGCAATCAAAGTTGCACACAGAGAGTCTTCTTGCACCATAGTCTGAAACAGCTAAAGGAAAATATGAGAAGAGGCCATTCAGATATCACTTGGGGCACAGCAGGCGGTAAGGTAATACACTCATCCTGCCTGGGATTCAGCTGGAAAAGCAAGTAGCAAGCAAAAACAAAAAACAAAAAAACCACCCACAATTGCACGTGCCCAACCATCAGCTGCCGCGCACAGGGGGAGGGAGCAGAATATTTTCCTACAGCCAAAAATGCAGGCATGCACACGCCTATTCGAGATTTGGAAGCGTTGGCTTATTTCAATGCAAATAATAAGCGGAATTACAGGGTCCCAAGAGTCGCTGCATTACCCGGACTCCGGAATGGGACAACTCGCTGTAACCAACTCCTCACGGCCAACTGGAGTGGGAGGGAGGGATGTGGATAAAACAACATACTGCGAGACAATTTAGCAATTCTATTTGAGTAAATTTCCAAAAAATATTTTAATTTTTGCCATTCGCATTTCACACTGTCCCTCCTTTTGCATCCTTTTTTTTAAAATTATCATCATGATTCCGTCCCACCACTGTATTTCTTAGATATGAGCGTTCCTTTTGTCCCGCAAGCGAGTTGTCCAAGCAGCAAATTGGCCGTGGGAATTGTCATAGACACACACACACACACACACACACACAAACAAAAAACCCGGACCCCGTTTGGTTAATTTGGATTTCCTAGGAAAAATCGCTAAAGCTTGGACTAGGTAGCTCAGACACTCAGCCTGTCGATCCGAAAGGTCGGCGGTTCGAATCCCTAGTACAGGTCTCCTGCGTGACAGCAGGGGGTTGGACTAGATGACCTCCAAGGTCCCTTCCAACTCTGTTAGTGTTAAAAGTCCTCAAGAACCCATGCCAACATTCCCAAATCGGTCTTTTTTCTTTTCTTTTTTCTTTTTGGTTAGGTCTCCATCTCTGGGACCGGCTGCGCCCGTTTTACACGTGTTTTACTCGACTTCCCAAGAATGCCAAGCCTTGCACGGGGGTTGCACGCCCGCCTCCCCTCCCCAAACCGCGCTTTCCAAAGCCGACGCTCTCGCTGACAACCCCCCCCCCCCCCCCAAGAGATGCGTGTTCGCAATTTTTCCCCCCCCCCAAAAAAAAAACGCCGCCCCAGACAAAAGCGCGGCGCCCGGGGTCGGTTCACACGGGGGGGGGGGGGGTGGAGGGGGGGGGGGGGGTTTCCTCCTCACCCTGCGCGATGGCGATGGACTCGAAGCGGTGCAACTCCCTCAGCAGGCAGCTCCGCTCCGTCGAGTGGAGGCTGTAGATGAAGTCGCGGGCCCCCTGCGCCGTGTTGAGCGTCTCCATCGGCTCCTTCTTGGGGTGCGTGCCCAGCGGCCGCGGGGAGCCCAAGCAGGAGGCCGCGGCCGGCAACCACAGTCCGTCTTCTTCGGGCCGAGGGGCGCGTCGGAGGGCGCTGAGGCGCCGGCGGAGGAGCAAGAGGCAGCGGCAGCCGCCGAGGCGAGACGCCCGCCCTGAGGAACCGGCCGAGCTCAAACGCAGCGCCAACCGACAGCTCAGCCACGTCGGCGACGACATGCCGCCCGCCGGTTCGGCTACCGGCGCTGGGAAGGAGAAGGGCGGCCACGCCCGGCCGCGGGGAAACCGGTGCTCATGAGTCTGTTCCCGAGCTTTTACTTGGCCGCGCCCTGCCCGGCGGTCCCGGCGACTCAGAGCCCGAGGTCGGCTCCGGCCAGCCGCCGCATCTCCCCTCAGGCAGTAACCGCGGCAGCGAAGAACTCCGCCTCACAGCTCCCGCCTCGCCTGTCAGGCGGGACTGAAAGGAGGGAGGTGGCCGGCCGGCGCCACGCAGGCGCACTGGCTTCAGTTTGCCACTGGCCGCGGCCCCGCCCCCCACGCCTTCCAACCAATGGGGAGAGAGAGAAGCCTTCTCTTTTCGTCTCCACCTTCTTCCCGCTGCTTCTAATTAGATGCGGGGAAGGATGAGGTTCCAGCCACGCCCACCTCCCTGCAGATCACCCCCCCCACCCCGGTTTGCTTCCTTTGATTATCATAGTTGGCTGCAAAAATCCGGGTGGCCGTTGAGCGGCAGCCCAAAACTCCAATTCCTGGCTCAATCTTGGGGTGATCCGGATCTTTGCAACCCAAATCAGACAACCTTCCCACCACCAGTGCACCTTTCTCTCTTGCATGCTCCCTCTTGGGTGTGGTTCACCTTCACTCCTGCTGACTTCATGGAAACATCTGTATTATTTCGTTGGGAGCGGCCCAGATAATCTGCTAAAAATATAAAGGCAAAGTCTGCAAGCGGAGTGTGGTTCACACATAGGGCCATGTATGTACTATATACATGTACTATAGGGGGCAGTGCTCAGCTCCGTTTGCAGGCCATGAAGCCAGCACACTCTATTTCTGCGGGCATGTGGCCAGTATCACAGAGCCCTGTGATATTCCCACCAAAGTAGTGCCTATTTATCTACTCATATTTGCATGTTTTCCAACAGCTAGGTTGGCAGGAGCAAGGATCAGAGCTCATCCCATCGTGTGGCGCTTGGGTCTCGAACCTGGGCGGCTGGCTGACAGCCCAGTGTCTTAACCGCTAAGCCACCACACTGCCCACATGTAGGAAAGTGGTTTGTAATTTTTTTTTTCTTTCAGAAAGTTTTAATCTGGGAATGTACTAAAACAAGGTCTGTCTTTTTTCCTATCTCTTTAGAGTTTTTTGTTGTTAGTTGTGAAGTCGTGTCCGACCCATCACGACCCCATGGATAACGTTCCTCCAGGCCTTCCTGTCCTCTACCATCCCTCAGAGTCCATTTAAGCTCATGCCTACTACTTCAATGACTCCATCCAGCCACCTCGTTCTCTGTCGTCCCCTTCTTCTTTTGCCCTCAATCTTTTTTTTTTTAAGTTGTTCTAAATTAGTATCTTCTTTATACTATTACAAAGGGATCGTTTTTTGCTCTGTTGCAAACCTGGCTTTAATATGCTTTCTCCAATGAGGTATAGCTAAGCTATGTATCTCAGCCAAGCATTTTAATTGGTATAGTGTTCATATCTGCTTCTATATTAGAAAATTGTTACAGCCATCTATCATTACGCCCCTTGGATAATAAGTTTTAAAATTCTGGGTTTTTAAAGTCATTGATTGTGTATGTAAGAGCCCACCCTGGTGTCCAATATGAGGAAAAGCAGAACAGAAATATTTTATAAATAAATAAGGCATCACTTATATGTATTATAGAATCATAGGGCTGGCGGGGACCTTGGAGGTCTTCTAGTCCAACCCCCTGATCAAGGCAGGAGACTTTATTCCATCCCAGACAAATGGCTATCCAATCTTTTTCTGAAGACATCCTTTAAGGGAGCACCCACAATTCCGCATTCTTGATAGTAAAGTATGGAAGTGTGACTTGTATCTTCAAAGTGACACCACTATGTGCTTCTCTCCATTATTTCAGGGATCTCCAACACAGGCCGTGGGAGAAATGGGCAAGCTCACATTTGTGTGTGTGGAGGGTGCTTTACACTCGTGTGCAAAGCTCTGCTCGCTTGTAAACTCCATTTCTGCATGAGGGCAGGTGCCACAACAGAAAAGGCTCTGTTTCAGGGCCCCACCAACTCAGACTCCGTAGCAGATGAGACCTTGAGTAGGCCTCTTCTGCTGAATTTAACAAGATGGGTAAATGCCATTGGATAGAGGCTGTCCCTCAAATACCCCAGCTCCAAGCCATGAAGGGCTTTATAAGTAGCCACTAGCATCTTGAATTGTACCCAGAGGCAGACCAGCAACCAATGCAGCTTGTGGCGCAAAGGTGTCATGTGTGCTGAACATAATGGCCAAGGTGGTTGCATTTTTGGGTCAGTTGAAGCTTCTAAAAACTCTTCAAGGACAGGCTCATGTAGATTGCATTGTCGTTGTTGCAATATTTTCAGGATCAGACTCAATAATATTAGTAAGAGTTAAAGGTTTAAATATATTTCCTTTTATTTACAATAGGCATTCTATATTCACTGAATATTCACAGATAGAAGCGAGGAAAAGGTGTAGGTGGCTCCTTATATATACAATGGGTGGAGCTATAAGTGGGAGTGGTGAATTATGAATACATTAAGAAGTGAAGAATAAGTTAACCCCTGATACCCCGTTCATATATTATTTACACGTTAGAGAATAAGGCATTTACATCTGACAAATCCCCCTCTAAATGCCGATTCGTTATACAACACCAATTACACTCAGATTCAGGACAATACAATACATACAACTTAGAAGTTAAATATTTGTGTTGCTTAGAAGGTAAAGGCTTTGTCAATATGTCAGCTAATTGTTCTGAAGTATCACAATGCACTGCTTTAATAAATCCATCCTGAGATAATTGTCTCACATGTTTAAATTTTATATCTATATGTCTGGACCTTTGTCCAATGGCATCAGATCTAGATATTTCAATAGCTGCTTTATTATCTTCATGCATAACAAAAGGCAAAACAGGTTTTTTCCAAACATCTGAAATTAAATCATTAAACCATACAAGGTTATTTGCAGCTTTGGATAAACAAACATATTCCGCTTCTGTCGTTGAAGTGGCCACTAGTTCTTGTTTACCAGTGTACCAGTAAACTGGACAGTCATTTAAGAGAAATATATAACCAGATGTACTTTTTCTACATGAGGTGTCTCCAGCCCAATCTGCATCTGCATAACATGTAAGCTTTGGTTCTTTATTGTCTTTAGGTTCTAATATTAAGCAAAAGTCTAGTGTACTTTTCAGATATCTTAAAATTCTTTTAACAGCTTCCCAGTGATACATTGTTGGTTTGCTGACATGTCTGGATAATAGATTGAGTGGTAAGGCGATATCTGGTCTAGTCCAATTAGATATATAAAGAAGTGAACCTATGATTGATCTATAAAACGTGTTATCCTTGAATTCGGGGGAAGATTCATCAGTGTTTCTTAGAAAATCAGTTTGCATAGGAGTATCACAAGGTTTGGCATTGTTTAAATTGCATTTATTTAAAAGTTCTACAATCTTATCTCTCTGAGTAAGTTTGAATCCCCTTCTAGTCTTATTAATTTGGACACCAAGATATTTGTTTACTTTACCTAGAGATTTTAACGAGAAATGTTCATTTAGTTTGGTTACAAAGGTTTCTCTTCTCTCTTTATGTTTTCCTATGTATAAAATGTCATCCACATAAATCAATACAAATTCAATGTAATCATCATCCTTTTTGACAAAAAAGCAGTTATCAGCAGTAGTAGCGTTGAAGTCCATGGTTCTAAGTACTTTCACTAAACAATCATACCATCGTTTACCAGATTGTTTTAACCCGTATAAACTCTTGTTTAACAACCAAATTTCATTTTTGTTTGTGTATTGACTGTGAGGTGCTCTTACGTATATTTCTTTATCTAGTTTAGCGTGTAGATACGCAGTCTGTATGTCGTATTGAAATACATCAAGGTTGAGTGCTGATGCTACCACTAGAGCTGTTTTGACACTCTCTGTTCTTACTGTGGGGGAATACGTGTCAGTATAGTCCTCCGGATATTTCTGTGCATAACCTTGTGCAACTAGTCTAGCTTTGTATAGAGTATTGCCTCCCTCTAAGTTCTTAATTTTATATATCCACCTGGTACCAATAATTGTTTTATCCTTAGGTGCAATTGCAGGTGTAAATACATTTAATCCTTGTAAACTTTCCATCTCTTTTTTCATCGCTAATTCCCATTTTTCCTTTTCTTCACGAGGGAGTTTTAACACTTCCTCATATGTATTGGGTGTTGTTGGCTCACCATCCATATGCATTATGTAATCTTTGTATTTATTTGGCATTTGATTTCTGGTGTTTCTAATGGTTTTTTCAGGTTTACTATCGTTATCATGCAAATATCTTGCTTCCTTTTTTGTTAATGTGTCTGTCTTAATTTTGTGTTGGCTATTTGTCCAAATTTTGGTTTTGTTCTTATTTTTGTTGATATTTTGCTTTTCTATGATCCCTTCTTCATGAGATTTTGTACCTTTATATTTATTTGGAAATATTTCATTAAGATGTAATTTAGACCAGTTAGCCTGTTCATGGAACACAGCTGTTCTGGAGACTATAAATTTGTTATTGTTATCAATGAATCTGTACCCTTTAGTACCGGTTTCATATCCCATAAATCTGAGTCTTCTGGATACGTTTTCTCCCTTTCTTCTTAATTGTTTAGGTATGTGTACGTCTGCAGTGACTCCAAATATATGCATGTGTGCTAATTTTGGTTTTCTATTATACATCACTTCATATGGTGTCTTATTTACAATGCTGGACCATGTTCTATTTTGTGTGTAATTTGAATAATGTAAGGCTTCTGACCAGAATTGTTTGCTTAAGCCAGCATCTTCCAATGTGCATCTAATCATGGTTTGTAATGTGGAATTTTTCCTCTCTGCAATCCCGTTCTGGAACGCAGAAAATGGACTAGATGTGTAATGTAACATTCCTTTGTCTTTTAACCATTGGGAGAATTCTTTAGACATGAATTCGCATCCCCTATCTGTCATAATTTGTTTTATTTTGATGTTGTGTTGTGTTTCTATGCGTTTGTAAAATTCTTTAAATTTTTGAAATGTTTCATCTTTGTGTTTTAATGTATAAACAAACCCATAGCGGCTATAATCGTCCACTATTGTCAGGAAGTAACGTTTTCTATAAGTGATTGATGGAGTTAATGGACCAACTAAGTCCATGTGTACTAAATCAAAAATTTTGTTAGTTGATCTAGTAGATTTTCTTGGCCTGGGGCTAGTTTTTAGTTTTGTAGATTTAC